TTCTCAGCCTTATCACTCACTACTCCTCAAATCAACCCAACTCTCCATCCCATCAGAGCTCCCAGAGCAGTACTTTCAAAACTCAAGGCGTTGCACAACCTGTTTCTAACTCCTGGGAAATCGCTTCGTTCTCTGGTTAAAAAAAAAAAAAAGCCTGTTCATCCTCAAAGCAGAGCTCAACAAACATCCGTTGAACGTTTAACATTTAAGGGCTACTGGATTAGTGTTCAGAGCAGACTCTGTGGCCAGAATGCTTGGATTCGGACTCCAGTTTTGCTACTTTCCAGCCACATAATCTCCAGAAAGTCACTTATCTGTATAACACACCATGCCTCAGCTTCCTTATCCGTAAAACGAAGATAACAGAACCTTCTGCAAAGGGTTGTGAAGATTAAATCCGTTCATTTCTGGGACATAGTAAGCACTACATAAGCTTTGGCTATCATTATTATAATTCCTTCGGAAGCTCTGGGTTCTCACAGAACCTTTTCTTCAAGCTAGTATTTACTGAGAACATACCCAAACTCTTTTACGCATCCTTCTCCACCTCACAAAAATGTTACAGGTACTACTAGCTCCGTTTTCCCAATTGGAAAACTGAGCCTTAGAGAATGTAAATAACTCTTAAGTCCCACAGTTAACTACTCATGGAGCTGGTATTCGAACCCATGCTTTTTACTTCTGTATTACAATGTCTGAAATGCTGAGTGAATCTCCTGGATGCATGTCTCCCCTCCACAAGAGAGGGGGGTGGTCTGTGTGCTTGCGAAGGAAGAGGGGGTGTCCGGCACAACATTCATCTGCTCCCCCTACCAGCCAACTACTCCGACCCAGAGAGTCGGCCCTAAGGCCCTCTCTTCCCTTCGAGAGTTCGGGAGAGTCCCAGGCTGGAGGGCAGAAGCTGTGCCTCGCAGCGGCGCTTGACAGAACCGGGGCCGATCACCTTGCGGAATGTAAGAACCTCCCGCTGGAGAAGCCGTCCCAGGCCGGCGGCCGGGTGTCCACCCCACAGCCCTCACCCTCCGCAGCGGCGGGGCCCGCTGGAGCCCTGCAGCTGTCCCCAGGGATCCTCTGGAGGATGTGGGGCCTGGGCTCCGAGCCGTGCGTCCCCCGCCGCACGTGCGCGGCCCACACCGCCGAACCGATCCGTCACCTCCGCGGACGTCGCTCCCCGCCGTCAGCAGCTCCTTGGACGCTGACACCCCCGAGCTGACCCGGGCGGATGAGGAACAGCTCGGCATGGCCTGAGGCTCGCCGTGGACCTCCATACCTCCCCCAAACCTCCTGAACCCGCAGAGCCAGTGTCGGACGCAGGAAACAGGATTAGGCAAGGGGGCGGGGCAAGGGCCGCGATTGGAGGAAACTTGGTGGTGGGCGGGGCGAGAGGCCGGGCGGGCAGGGCGAGCGCTGGCGCAGCAAACAGGCTGCCCGGGAGCTTCCGGTCATTTCTACCTGAGTAAAGGGAGGTTTAGACTCTTGAGATGCTGTCATTGGCAAAAAGCTGATGAGGCTTGATTTAGCTAAACAAATTCAGACATAAAGAGCATAGCATAGGCAGCTCCTCTTTATTTTGTTTTATTAAATTTATTTTTTAAGTTGTGGGAAAAAACGTACAAAATTTACCATTTTAATCATTTTTAATTATAAAATTCAGTAGTGTTAATTATGTTCACATTGTTGTGCCATAGATCTCTAGAACATTTTCATCTTTGAAAACTCAAACTCTGTAACCATTGAACTCCCCAATTCCTCCTCCCCCAGTCCCTGGTAATCACCATTGTACTTTCTGTGTCTAAGAGTTTTGACAAATGCAGATACTTCATATAAGTGGAATCATAGAGTACTGGTCTCTTATGATGGCTTATTTCACTTAAAATAATATCCTCAAGGTTTATCCATGTTGTAGTATGTAACAGGCTTCCTTTCTTTTTTAAGGTTGAATAATATTCCATTACATGTCTATACTACATTTTCTTTCCATTCATCTCTCAATAGACATTCAGATTGTTTCTACCCCTTGGCTATTGTGAACAATGTTGTATGAACATGGAGGTGCAAATATCTCTTCAAGACTCTGCTTTTCAGTTCTTTGGGATATATATCCAGAAGTGAGATTACCAGATAATATGGTAATTCTACTTTTTAACTTTTTGAGGAAGCTCCATACTGTCTTCCATAGCAGCTGATCTATTTTACATTCCCAACAGCAGTGCACAAGTGTTCCAGTTTCTCCACATCCTTTTCAATACATATTATTTTCTTTTCTGTTGTTTGTTTTTTTGACAGTGGACATCCCAATAGGTATGAGGTGATATCTTGTAGTTTTCATTTGCATTTTTCTAATGATTAGTGATGTTGAACATCTTTTCATGTACTTGTTGGCCAGTTGTATATCTTCTTTGGAGAAAATGTAACCAGCTCTATGAACAAATTTCAATGAAACCTATGTTTTTAAAATAATCCTCTCCCCTTCATATTTAGTTTTTCAGGGCAATAGGGCCTGATGATCAGAACCTTATAAATTTTAACTAACTACTTGACCTTTTTAGTTATTTCCCATAAATTGTGAAATTTCTGCAAGACAAAGGAGTTGAAATTCTGAAGGCCCCTGCATAGACTTCCTGACTCCAAGACTCACTATTTACCACAATCTGTCTCAATGCATGAGGCCCCTGGTTAATTTCCCCTCCTTAAAAGGCCCATAATCTCCCTTAGTCTGGGAGATGGATTTGAGGCTGCTTTTCCCATTCTCCCAACAAGTTGTCTTTCAATGAGACATCTTTTGTATTAGAATTTCCTTTCTTGTTGACAATCCTCGTTGTCTCAGCAATTGGTTATTCTGTGCCATAAGGAACTGGACCTATGCTGAAACTCCCTTGTGGTTTTGATATCAAAATGTCTATTCAATTCCTTTGCCCATTTTTAATCAGGTTATTTGTTTTTTAGTTGTTGAGTTGTAGGAGTTCTTTATATATTCTGGATATTAACCTTTTATAAGATATGTGATTTGCAAATATTTTCTCCCATTCAGTAGGTCTCCTTTTCACTCCGTTGATTGTTTCCTTTCCTCTTGTTTTTTTAACAGTCTCTGTTGACCACCTGCAGTGTGCCCAGACCTCTCTGATAGGGGGTTCACAGACAAAGAGGCAGAAATCTTCTATCAAACTTTTCTGCTTGTTTCAGACAAACAGGGGCTCCAGACTCAGCCAGACCTAGATTAAATCCAGTGTCAGATCATTCATTTAATAGCTGTGACTTTGGGCAGATCACTCTCTGATCCTCCATTTCCTCCTCTGTAAAATCTAGGATAGTAATACTTCACAGAGATGTCCTAAGGAACAAAAGAGGAAGAGGAGTAAAACATACGTAATGGCACATCCTGGAAGCTGCATTATTGTTATTAAAATAATAATTTAACATTATATTATAACCAAATTATAAAACTCAGGGCACAAAGAATTATGAGAGAAGTGACAGTAGGCACTGAGGAAGAAAACACTGACTAATGCATTTTAAAAGCTGATTTCAGCCGGGCGCGGTGGCTCACGCCTGTAATCCTAGCTCTCTGGGAGGCCGAGGCGGG